GGTCGAATACGACCATGGTATGCTGTGCAAAATGTGCTTCGAGAGAAATGAGAAATTGCTAAGTATAACAAGGAAGAAAGTTCAACAAAAAGAAGACATACACCAAGGGGACATAATTATGTATAGATATTACGGACTTCTACATTGTTCAGTGGTTCTGGATGTCATTAAACGTAAAGAAAAATATATTAAGTGCGAGATTGCCCACTATGCATTCAAGGGACCGTTCACACAGAACAAAATACAAAGTGGTATTTTGAAAGTTCCATTTAATGGATCCGTTTCAGTATTTGATTACTCGAGTGGTGAGTTTGAAACTTATGAGCCGGAGGAAGTAGTTTGTCGAGCTAGGGAAAGAATGGGAGAGCAAATGTTTTCTTATTTTTCTAATGACTCAAGCCATTTCGCCCGCTGGTGTAAATTGAAATTATTAATCCAAAAAAAATAAAAACTTGGATCATCTTTGATATTATACATACACTTAGAATAAAAACAGATGTATCGTCGGCTGATTGACATGCATTGTCCGAAAGACCACAATTCGTTTAAAGAACAGGGTGTGATAAGGGCCTTGTTTGGAATAACTTTTCCCTAAATTTGAATATTTGATTTATGATTTTAAGCTATGTCTGTTTTAAAGTTGAGGTGTGGCAAAATTGAAAACAAAGAATGTTTTCCACAAGACGTCACAACAGTTGTATTTATGATTGATTGATGTTTGCTTAAAGTGCAATTATTTCATGCATGTTAAGGACTAGAACAAATAAACAATAAATATTTAACGTGCAAGAGAGCGTTACACAAGACGTTGGATTCAAGTTTCCAGTTTCCATTTTGAACGGACATGGCTGCGTATTTATACATCCCGCACAGCCAAACGGACACCTCACTTTAGGGGACGACCATTTGATATTCTGGGGGTGGGGGGAAGAGGGGGGGGGGGGCTGGAGGGTTTGTTTTGGATGGGTTTTACAATTATTTATTAAAATCAGTCGGGTCCAGGACCGATCCAGTATATCTTATTATGATCCTTTGTAATAAATTCCATTTTCTATGTACATGTATCTAGAGTTATCAAAAATTGTTTTACTCAATGTATGATAATAATTCTTTCTTTCTTTATATTCCTTTGCTTTAATCTTTTTTCCGTTAATTTGTTATGCATGATATTTCATCTTTTGTTTGATTTTATCTTAATATATCCTTTTTAATTTTTGAATGTGTTAGATACTCTTTTACATTTTTATGTCTTCTGTATGCAATAATCGGAGGTTTTGGAAATAATATTTTTGCTTTTCTGTTTTGTTCGACAAGGTGCCAATGTTTTCTTATAGCTCTGCCGATTCTTTTAAATACCGGATTAAATCTTGTTGCAAAAACGAGTGGTGGAGCCGCTTTCTTATTTTTATAACTATATTTTGAAGATTCTTTTTTTTCTTTTTTTCTTGTTTTTGTTATTAATATTGTCGATCTCATTTTCGCAATGTCCTCTTTAAAGAAGTTTAGACTTAAGAAGTTGAACTTCTCCATAGAGGTCTTTGAGTTGTTGCAAGACCTAATAAAGGGAATTATTTCTGCAGTTATGAAGCCTTTGAATACTGACGTAGGATGGACTGATGTTCGTTCAAGATATTGAAAATTATCAGTCGGTTTTCTATATAGTTTAATGTCTAAAATTAGATTTTTTTTCAAATCTTTCACCTATGAAGGCAGTTATGTCTAGAACCTGGATAATAACCCCATCCAACTCATTTTTGGAGACAGGAATTTGATATTTGAAATGTTCACATTATGATCTTTAGTATCCCCATACATAAAAATCAAATTCGATCAATTGTTGATATTTCAAGAAGGAAAACCTATCGCTAGGGATACATGATGAGTATAAGCCTAGGTCCATACAACCTTAACCGACACACCTTTTATATAATAAGGAACACAGACTCTGCTCTGTGATTCTTTTTTAAGAATACACACACTATTTAAATTACAAGCACGTGTGAGTTCCTTTAAAAGTACAAAAATAGATGCCTAAAAAAGTATTCCATAACAAAAAATTACCATCATACATTGAGTAAACTAATTCTACATAACTTTAGATACATGTACATAGAAAATGGATTCATTACAAAGGATTATAATAAGGTATACTGGATTGGTCCTGGACCCGACTGATTTTAATATAATTCGATGAGATGAAATACATTATGTACCATTTGATCCAAATTTATCATCATCCTCTGGAAGTGAATCTTCTGAATTCAAAACCCATATATTGCATACGGACAAAAACAATATAGGTTAAAATGGGAAAAGGTAGAGGTAAATGTTCATGAGACAATATACCTCAAGTGAAATGTAACCCATTTTCAGACATTTCAAAAAACATTAATATTTATATATGGTGTAGTATATATATTATTAAAAGATTTGGGAAGTTTTTCCTGAAAAAAGTATGAAAAAAGACGAATTTTGGTAGAATCTGGTGCCATATCATTCTTTAAACCATGCATGTATAATACATTGTAATATGGTTTAAAAGACCTGCCTAGTTATTTATTTTCAATACATTGTAGGTCAGGTTATTTATTTTCAAACTACCACAGAACAAACCATTCAATTTTTTTATTATCAAGGCTGAGTCATTTATTTTCAAAATCCTCCTGCTCCCCCCAAATTGACCGTTCATAAATTTTGAAATTATAAAGAAACTAAGGTTTCAACTCCCTCAGGCAAAGTCGACCTTAGATGGATTTGGCTATTTTTTAGGTATTTTTTGGTTATATAGCTTTTCAACTGTTTCGGTTCTTATACATCCTCGGCTTTCAAATATTCGGCTTTGAGCGTTCCTGATGAAGGTAAATCCAGAAAAAGCGCTTCGGACGCATGAAATTATTTAACGTGTTGTTTTCATTTTTTACAGCACTGGGTCGATACCTCTGCTGATGGACTATCAGTCCCAGAGGGTATCATTAGCTCAGTAGTCAGTACTCCGGTACTGACATGATTTATTACAAACCTTTTTCAAATTTACCGTTCATAAATTTTGAAATTATAAAGAAACTATGCTTTCAACTCTCTCAGGCAAAGTTGACCTTAGATGGATTTTGCTATTTTTAGGTATTTTTTGGCCATATAGCTCTTCAACTGTTTCGGTTCTTGTACATCCTCGGCATTCTAATATTCGGCGTTGAGCGTTCCTGATGAAGGTAAATCCAGAGAAGCGCTTCGGACGCATGAAATTATTTAACGTGTTGTTTTCATTTTTTAGAGTTCAGGCTTCAACTAACATTTTGCACTCCCTGTACTTTGAGTCTTTCTTAGAATTCAGTTTGACTGATATCCAACTGTACTTATCTCTTTACCTAGTAGATATATAATCACCCTCCATAAGCTCCGCTATTGAAATATTCCTTTAGCTCATTTGATAGAGCGATGGCTTACTGTGCGAGGGGTCCCAGGATCGACTCCCGGCAGGTGTAGTTATTAATTTTGGGCGGCTTATTACGTCTCCGGTTACAAAATTGACGCCAAACTAATAACTAAAAGGAAAAAGTAAAATAACAAAAATACCAAACTCCAAGAAAAATTCAATACGAAAACTCCCTTATCAAATGGCAAAATCAAACGCTCAAACACATCAAACGAATGGAAAACAACTGTCATATTCCTGACTTGGTACAGGCATTTCCTTATGTAGAAAATGGTGGATTAAACCTGGTTTTGTAGCTAGCTAAACCTCTCAATTGTATGACTGTTATGACAGTCGGATAAAATTCTTTTATACTGACAACAATGTGAGAGCAAAAAAAACCAGAGATAATAGGTAAAAATGTAAAAAATTGAGGTACAGCAGTCAACTTTGTGTTATAATCGTAATAACTATAAAACAAACAACTATGTCAACAAAGACAATAAAATTGGCATATAGACACACTCTATAGTCAAAGCACATAAGCAAAAATGAAAGACAAGAATACAAAAAATGATTATAGCACAATAATACAATCATGGCGGGATGTAAAAATACCGAGCAACGTCAAAAGGATATTATAAAAAATGGACTAAACAGTAGCCAGGAGAAGTGATGAAGATATCGTCGTTTAAGTATAATTACTATTTGATGTTGGGAGGTTTAGCGGTGCGTTTCAATACCTAGTAGTTATATTGCCGCCCTCCATTATCAGCTCTAGTAAAATACTGACTGTGCGAAGGGTCTTGGTTCGAACTTTGGCTGGTACAGTAATTTATTTTGGAAGTCAAATCACGCTCTCCGCTTACTAGTACATTATACTTGTGAAATTTCTAATTTGAGTCTCTATGAGATTATACATGGAGATCATATCTGGGACCAGCAGGTTAATAAATCATACCACATCTTCTCTTTATAAAACAAACTAACTATGAATATTAAGGATTTCCCCAAAAGAGGGGTGGTTTGGAAGTCAGCTATTTTTAAATCTCCCGTTTATCAGGAATGAATATGAATTACAAACATGACAAATCCATACTGTATACATGTGAGATAAATGAGATACAAACATGACAAGTTAATACTATATACTGTGAGATAAATGAGATACGAACATGACAACATGATATAAATACATGTGAGATAGATGAGATACGAACATGACAACATGAGATAAATACATGTGAGATAAATGAGATATGAACATGACAAGTCAATACTATATACTGTGAGATAAAAGCATGACAAGTCAATACTATATACATGTGAGATGAATGAGATACAAACATGACAAGTTAATACTATATATGTGTGAGATAAATGAGATACAAACATGACAAGTCAATACTATATTGAGTATTTTCCCCAAAAGAGGGGTGGTTTATAAATCAGCTATGTTTTCCATCTCCAGTTTATCAGGAATGAATTTTAGATATGAAAAGTCCATACTATATACATGTGAGATAAATGTGTGCCTTCTATATGTATATGAGGTAAGTGTCGCCTTTTACCGGATGTTTCTACTAAAGGAGTTATTTTTAAATGTGTGTAGATCTTACCGATTATTTCATGTATAAACCTTGACATGGGAAACATGTACAGATGTATAACCATATAGCTCGACTTGAACATTAGGTAGGTAGTACGAACGACTTGAACATTAGGTAGGTAGTACGAACTATTTTCAACACAGTCATGGACTGTCATCATCTTTTAGTGAGATGTAGAAGAAAACCAGTCTCTATGTCATGTTTCAACTGGTTGCGTTCAACTGATACATGCTTCCGGGAAATTGCAGAAATTATATCGTTTAATTAATGAATATATTTCGTGTACTCTGTTGAAATTTTGCATGGCAAACTCTCGAACGATCTATCTATTAGATATATAGATGAACTACGTCTGTCATACAATTATCCATGTGAATTTTGGCAGATTTTGCAAAGAGATGAATATTGTAACAATTCTAAAAGATGCCTATTATAGCGTATAAACGCACTAAAAATTTAAAAGAACACCTATAAAAACAAGGCTTTTAGATAGGGAGACTTTTGTGAAGGGTCTCTTGCTTAGTATGTCATAGAAATTTGCTAAAAAATCTCAAAACACCGTTAACTAAAAAAAAACTAGTTAATAGGCGATGAGTCTTTACGACTCTATCAACATGGTGTCAAGTCTTGAGGTTTTAGTATGTATATTGGGATAGGAAATCTATGCATTAGTGAAAAGTTTTACCCAAGTCGTTGTAAATCTCATTTGTGGAAAATAAAACATTTAACTACATCTGAAATTTGTACTGCATTTATTAAGTTAATGAGCGATATCGAGCAATAAGACAATATGCTTACACCACATCTTCAAAGGAGGGAATATAATGTCTGTTCGTTCGTTCGTGCTTACGTCTGTCCATCATTCATATTGTTCTAAATTGTCACTGCTTCCTGTTTGCTTTATGCATACGAATACAGATATTTCATAAACATGAAGATCTAAGTACATAGTCCCCATAAGTTTTAAAAAAGAGGAAATATGGTATGACAATCTGGTCTCTCTATGAGGAATAAAATAAACGGCACAATGTTTGTGCACTAGATGCGAATTTCGACAATAAATGTCTCTTCAGTGTTGCTCGAGGCCAAAACATTGTAAATCCAAAAACGTATTGAAACAATTTAGAGCTTATAAACAAAAAAGGACAAAAAGTATAGCCGAAGACGACAAGGAATCAGAGCTTTGCATGCACGCGGGATATTATTCCTTTATCTAAAATAATTTCCAAAACTTTGCATAAATTTTTAATAACACGATATCCGTATTTTCATGTCAGTACCAAAGTACCGGCCACTGGGCCGGTCATAGGAAGTGGCACCACAAGGTAATTAAATCCGCATGCATGTTTTTTCGTGTACAAGAAATATTCGTACCAGTTTCTTGTAATCTGTAAAGTATGAAACCGTGACACTTCAAATTCAACTCATCCAAAATTATATAAATATTTAACTGATTAATGTTATAAATGTAGATTCTTCCACTGCATTGAGTGTGATACAACATTTATCCACTCATGACAGTTAAATTTTCAATTTTAATACGCGAGGCTCGCCGAGTGTTTCAAAAATTTAAAATTTAACTGTCGAAAGTGGATAATGGTTGCACAGCTGTTTCACAAACCACGCCTCTTTTGGGGAGATATATAATATAAATGTTAAAAATATGCCGCACAGCCCTATATTTTGACCCTTGAATAAAAAGTAGTGCATATCAGGTTGCAGTCTTGTAATTGACTGCTCCATAGGCTTACATGCAAAACAGCTGATCTTAGAAAATAAAAAAATAAAAAATGCTACATAGAAAAAACTTTTCATGTTCATATCATGTATGTACTAATGTGAAATTGTGATTTAATCGAAAAAAAAGTGGGTCATGCCACGAAGAATAAAAAGTTACGTAACCCTGAAGTCAAAACATTTTTTTTCTACTTTCTGTTTGCTGTTTTTACTAGGCCGCACCACTTCCAGTAAACATGATATCCTTCCACTTTCTTGGATTGATATCCCCAAAAAGATGCAAGATTTTTTTTTAAATCTATATATATGTTTCAATTCAGCATAAACTTTTAATCAAACAGAAAAAATTGAGTCCAGAAAAAAATTCAGAAAAAAATGGACTATTTTATTTACCTCCATGTTTTGACATGCACCGGAAACTGGAGTTGAAATACAAGACTGGTACCTATAACTATAATGACATGTCTTAAAAAAATAAATCATTTACTTATTTTCATTAAGTAGCCATATTTGAACATAAAAAAGCCATTAAAAGAATTGTTTAGTTGTATTTATAAATATAATCCCAATATTAAAGGAGTACCTCTTTCTGAAAAAAGGCAAAATTTGGAAATAAGTCATGCCTATCAAATGATCTGTAAATCTCATTCTAGTCTATCTTTATGAATGTTTTCTTATTATTTGGATACTGTGAAGCTAGAAGAGAATTCTTATCTCTTATTTTTATTTTTTTCCTTCTATTTGATTGAACCACATTCAATAGTTTACCCCTCCCCCTTTTTTCCATGAAATCTACCCAAGTGGGCCTCTTGTTTAAGTCAAAATTGAAAAACTACCCAAAACTTTTTCATATTGAAGAATTTGTTGCAATTCAACTATCTAAAGACAAGAATGACCAAACCTTTCTCTTTTTTTACTATACATGTCTTTATACATGCCTACTATATGATGGTTTTTAGACTGTACTTGACACCCCAATGCATATAAAATTTGCAATAAAATTCAAGAAAAAACAAAATGAATACTCAAGTTGGTGTTTTTGGTAAGAATATTGATTACTCGTCACACCTAATCACAAAAATCCTTGTCATGATGGATAGTTTTAGAAAAATTCTACTTTTTGAACAAATTTTTACCAAAATATGGAATTTTCAATTAACCATACAGTGCCGCAGACAGGAAAAGAGGTCATAGACTCTTGTAAAGTGAACATTTTGTAAAAATCTTTTCACCAAAAGTTCATTTTATACATATTCTATCTATATGCCAACAATTGAGCCATAAAAATAATAACCATAAAGAAAAAAATTACTTTTGTATGTAGCTGTCCCTTCAACTTTACACTGATTTTCAATGAAACTGCGCAACTAGAATTTTCATCACAAGAAGAAGATTTTATAGAGGAAGAAATCTTTCTATGTTCTTTTTAATTAAACATCATGTATTTAATACTACCAGAATCTCAATTTACCTCAAACTGATGTGCTTTATATCTATTTATACTTTTGAATGGTGTCTTGTATCAAAAATCAAAATTATTACATAATTTCAAGTTTTTCATTGTAACTTGATACCCCATGATTTTTTTTCTTAAAACGTCCTTTAATCATGATGTTTTGTCATTCTGGGCACACAAAAGTCCACATGAGCTACTTCCTTGCAGTGAAGATAGGAAAAAATTACCCTATAACTATAATGACATGTCTTAAAAAAAATAAATCATTTACTTATTTTCATTAAGTAGCCATATTTGAACATAAAAAAGCCATTAAAAGAATTGTTGAGTTGTATTTATAAATATAATCCCAATATTAAAGGAGTACCTCTTTCTGAAAAAAGGCAAAATTTTGAAATAAGTCATGCCTATCAAATGATCTGTAAATCTCATTCTAATCTATCTTTATGAATGTTTTCTTATTATTTGGATACTGTGAAGCTAGAAGAGAATTCTTATCTCTTATTTTTATTTTTTTCCTTCTATTTGATTGAACCACATTCAATAGTTTACCCCTCCCCCTTTTTTCCATGAAATCTACCCAAGTGGGCCTCTTGTTTAAGTCAAAATTGAAAAACTACCCAAAACTTTTTCATATTGAAGAATTTGTTGCAATTCAACTATCTAAAGACAAGAATGACCAAACCTTTCTCTTTTTTTACTATACATGTCTTTATACATGCCTACTATATGATGGTTTTTAGACTGTACTTGACACCCCAATGCATATAAAATTTGCAATAAAATTCAAGAAAAAACAAAATGAATACTCAAGTTGGTGTTTTTGGTAAGAATATTGATTACTTGTCACACCTAATCACAAACATCCTTGTTATGATGGATAGTTTTAGAAAAATTCTACTTTTTGAACAAATTTTTACCCAAATATGGAATTTTCAATTAACCATACAGTGCCGCAAACAGGAAAAGAGGTCATAGACTCTTGTAAAGTGAACATTTTGTAAAAATCTTTTCACCAAAAGTTCATTTTATACATATTCTATCTATATGCCAACAATTGAGCCATAAAAATAATAACCATAAAGAAAAAAATTACTTTTGTAAGTAGCTGTCCCTTCAACTTTACACTGATTTTCAATGAAACTGCGCAACTAGAATTTTCATCACAAGAAGAAGATTTTATAGAGGAAGAAATCTTTCTATGTTCTTTTTAATTAAACATCATGTATTTAATACTACCAGAATCTCAATTTACCTCAAACTGATGTGCTTTATATCTATTTATACTTTTGAATGGTGTCTTGTATCAAAAATCAAAATTATTACATAATTTCAAGTTTTTCATTGTAACTTGATACCCCATGATTTTTTTTCTTAAAACGTCCTTTAATCATGATGTTTTGTCATTCTGGGCACACAAAAGTCCACATGAGCTACTTCCTTGCAGTGAAGATAGGAAAAAATTACCCTATGCAGGTTGCAGTCTTGTAATTGACTGCTCCATAGGCTTACATGCAAAACAGCTGATCTTTGAAAATAAAAAAATAAAAAATGCTACATAGAAAAAACTTTTCATGTTCATATCATGTATGTACTAATGTGAAATTGTGATTTAATCGAAAAAAAAGTGGGTCATGCCACGAAGAATAAAAAGTTACGTAACCCTGAAGTCAAAACATTTTTTTCCTACTTTCTGTTTGCTGTTTTTACTAGGCCGCACCACTTCCAGTAAACATGATATCCTTCCACTTTCTTGGATTGATATCCCCAAAAAGATGCAAGATTTTTTTAAAAATCTATATATATGTTTCAATTCAGCATAAACTTTTAATCAAACAGAAAAAATTGAGTCCAGAAAAAAATTCAGAAAAAAATGGACTATTTTATTTACCTCCATGTTTTGACATGCACCGGAAACTGGAGTTGTAATACAAGACTGGTACCTATCAACTTTCCATTCTAGGATATAATTTTTTACGAAACTTCATTGTAAAAGTGGCACAGTTTTAGCCGTAAAGAGAGCTCCTATGGGAAATTGCATTGTCTATATTTACAGAGGTGAAACCTAAATATCGTTTTGCACGATAATTGGTGGTGGAATCTGTTTCTCTAATGATTTTTAGACGATATTCAGACAAATATAATCCTTCTTTTCGAATGGTCTGCAAAAAGATGTGTTCTTTCTATGTGACGTCATCAGGCATGGTCACCTTTTTTCATGACGTCACAATAGGAATTTTTGAGTAACGTAAGAAAATTTGACAACATAATAGAATTTTGACCAATGAAAAACTGAGATCAAACGAACCACCTGTTGATGAGATAAAAATAATCAACAGGTCCGGAAAAGGATAAAACAGGTAAGAATTAGAGCAAAATAATTTAATAGGTTATAATGATTTTTTATACATTTTCATTTTTAATTTCCTACTTTCTTTTACTAGTAGGACATCCTAACTATGATAGTCCTCAAATAGCTTTAATGTGCATGCTCAGACATGTGATAAGTCTGTTCCATCATAATCCAAATTTTAAAACCCAATTTTATAAAAGATATGACTTAGGACAGATTATAGGACAGCTTTGAGAAACAAGTCCCATAACTATATCTTGTTTCGACCTCTTTTTAGATCCGACTCTTCTGTTAGCAGAGTATATATTATTTTCTTTGAAATAATGCGAGTCCAAGACATTTTGTCACATTTTCCGCATCAACTACAAATCATAGCTTCTTCATATTTCGTACCATGTCCCTTCTGTTGTATATGTATTTTTTGTTCAGCATGTTTCAAAATCAGGAGCGGGGTATACATTATATAAAAGAACAGGAGCGGGGTATGCATTATTTAAAAGAGCAGTACCACACACTTCTTGTTTAATCACATCTAATTTAGTGCCCTATGGTTTTCAACATGGAGTGGAAACCCACCCAACACAAGGCAACATGTATATGAAACGCGTGATTTTTTTTATCATTTCAGTGAAAAGATATACACTTGAACTGCAAAAATACCAAGTATTTTACTGGCGGGCTCGAATGAAAAGTCCAGATAAGTAAGGAATACTGTGAATATCCTTTAAACTTTAATAACTAGGAAACTTACAGATGACAAGTGACATAGAATGACAAAAAATACTTTGTATGTTGACACTGCTTTGTTGTCTGAGAGACAGGATTTCGAAATAAATCAGCGATCAGTTGTTCACATAAATATACAACGTACAATAAGCCAGAGTCGTTATAAGATAGTTCAATCGTCTAAAAGGTATTAATACGATCAGAACATCAACGAGGAGACAACATGGGGGATAGGAATAAATCAGAAACTTCTGTGGAAATTTATCCAGGAGATGACTCAAGTGAAAGAGAAAACCAATCGGGAGATGCTACTGAAGATCAAACTAGCGACTTGGCAACAAACATCTCGCAACAGACTACTACTAACCCGATAGACTCCGAAGATGAACATATTCATTTGGTTAAATGTTGGAATGGCGAAACACAGGTCGACGATTCTGTAAACCAGTCACATGTCAAAGTATATTTAAATATAAATGATGAGTCTGAACCTGACATGGTTATGGACATTGAAAATCAACAAGAAAGAACACAAGAATCATGTTATGCCGGAAGTAGAGGAATTCAGTCAAATGACAACGAAGTTTGTCAAGTAACCGAAACATACAAAGAAAATCAAATGGATCATAATATTAAAACTGACAAATCGTCAGACGAATTGAATTTTATATACCCAACAATAGAAGTTTCAATGTTAGAAGATTCTCCAATAATGCAAAGAGCCCCGTCACACATTACTATTGCTAAATGGACAAACACAAACACACATTCATTAGAAGTGAAACCATTGGATTTGGACTCGATAAATGAAGAGGTAGATACATTATCTAGACATAATTCACAGACAACACTGGTGAGTAATTTGGACGTTGATGATATTGCTGAAAACGGCATTAGGATAGGAAACTCAACATTTTACATAAATATTGAATCCAATTCGGAATCAATACACAAGATGGACAAAACCGATTATTTATTTGGAAAAATGAACGATGATGAGATAGAATCAAAAAGAGACCGATTGTCTTGTGGCGTTCCCGATGATGATACGGATTCGAAAGATTTACAGACATCTTTACAATCGCTAAAAAAGGATGGGAGTGAGGCTGCTGGAAGTTGTATGGATTGTATTAAACCAGTGCAAGTTAAAACCTGGAAGGAAATCAACCAAGGCGACCATATTATCCTTTCAAGGAGGTTTTATGACCATCATGCAATTGTAATTAGAGTAATTCCACCAGAGGATGATAACAGTCAGCAGATTAGTTTGGAATTGATTCATCAGACAATAAGGGATCGTATACTTCATACAGGAACACTAGCAAAATTAAAAGATACAACTGAAACTGTCAATTTAAAAACGGACATAGTAATGATTTGTAAATATTGGGGAAGTATCAAAACGAGATCTCCAAGACAAGTAGTTAAACGAGCAATTGGGGCTTTACGTGGTGCCAAGGAGGAATTTCGGTATAACGTTTTTGATAATAATTGCGAACATTTTGCTTCTTGGTGCGTAACTGGAAGAAGACTCAGTATTCAAATAAGAAAAGTAATAGTTGTTCGTAAAATATTGGTTCAGTTACACAAAGGATTCCGTGGTCTAAGTGACGAACTGTTAAGAAACCAGGTCGAATATGAACATGGTATGCTTTGTAAAATGTGCTTTGAGAGAAATGAGAAGATGCTTGGTGTAACAAGAAAGAAAGTTCTACAAAAGGACGACATACAAAAAGGAGACATAATTTTGAGAAGATATTGGCAACTTCAACACTGTTCAGTGGTTCTTAATGTTATGAAACGTAAAGAAAAATATATTAAGTGCGAGATTGCCCACTATGCATTAAAGGGACCGTTCACACAGAACAAAATACAAAGTGATATTTTGAAAATTCCATTTAATGGATCAGTTTCAGTGTTTGATTACTCGAGTGGTGAGTTTCAAACTTATGGTCCGGACGAAGTAGTCTGTCGAGCTAGGGAACGAATAGGAGAGCAGATGTTTGCATATTTTTCAAATGACTCAAGCCATTTTGCCCGCTGGTGTAAATTAAAATTGTTAAACTAATGAAAAATAAACACTTGGTTCTCTTTTGAATTTTTATACGAACACTAGAGCTTGAGACAACGAATCGTTTGCTGATTGAGGATAAATAATCAAAATAATCCGAACGATCCTAGAACTAGCTCTGGAGATACAGTGTCACTTGTTTGACATATTTTTTTATTTACAGCAGTTTTCTGTACCACAGTCAAACACCATGCCTAATGATTACTCAGTCGTTGTTTGTTCTCTTCATTGCTATTGTAAATCACAAAAGACAAAGGGCTATTGTAAGCTTTTGCCATTTCTTCAATGTCCATCGTTTGCCCATTGTTATTTTTTTCATTATTATTTTCTATCTTATTGTATTAAACCTGGATAGGTTAAAAATATACGTTAATCATCGTTTTTACCTGTATAAGAATGAGTTTTTTTGGATCGAATCAGTCAATCAAAGTGTTTATCCTTGTTTCACTTTCAATGTTGACATTCTTTTCCTTTTAATAACTGAACACGCCTAATTCATGCGTAACCCATCTCTAGCTAAGGGGTTAAATTGAAGGTCACATGAATATGGATTCAATGAGGTCGAATTATTCACCTGCAAGTGAATAATTCATCAGCGATGTTTCTTAGCTTATTTTTACAAAATTGAACCAAACTGGACTTTGTCATTGCACAATCAGCACGTGGCAATTGTTTATTCACATTTTCTACATTTACACGTGATCATCTTAAAGGTGCTTTTAGATTGGGTGCAGCCAGTTATATCTGTGACCAAAGGAAATCCTTACCTCGAAATTCTATCTTAATAAGCCAAGGGTGGAGAAGAGGGGACTGGATCGTAACCCTTGGCTGGCGAAGATGTAACTCTAAACACGATGTTATTTATGCGTTTAAATTCCTGAAAACGTTACTATCGGCGGGACGTCCGGTGTGTGATTTTCCCTTCTCAAAACCACTGCTTGAACAAAATTATGTATAATTGATGCCCAAATAATGATGCTCAAATACGTTATTGAAATAATTGCATTTTAGTCTCACATTTGCAATGAGAAGTACATGATGCAAAAAATATGCTAGTCCTGATCACTGAACGTATACTATTCAAAACAAAGGCCCCGAAGTCCCATTTTTGTTTAAACTCCGGTCTAAGTACTAGAGATGTATGTGGGAGAGTGAAAATCACCCGTCTAATGTACTGAAATTTCCAAGACTGCAGCCATCGATCTTACAGTGTGTTCTTATGTTGTGCTGTTACACCACTGTCCCATGTCTCACAAACATGTTTAAACCCCGACACATTCTTTTTGTGCCTGTCCCAAGTCAGGAGCCTGTAGTTCAGTGGTTGTCTTTCGTTCATGTCTGTCATATTTGTTTTTCGTTAATTGTTTTGTTATAAATTAGGTCGTTAGTTTTCTTAATTGAATTGTTTCATATTTTTCATGTCGGGGCCTTTTATAGCCGACTATACGGTATGGGTTTTTCTCATTGTTGAAGGCCGTACGGGTGGCTATAATTGCTTACATCCACTTTATTTGCACTTTGTTTGATAGTCGTCTCATTGGAAATCATACCTCATCTCCTTATTTTTATATTAACCACTACACTGATAGGGATCGAGTGTACACGGATTCCACTGTTACAGTAACGTGCCTCGCAGCTCTTGAGGGGTGCTCCGAATAACTGCGGAATCTACCAGTACATACATACAAGGTATCCGCCATAATGCAAATTATTGAACATATATTTTTTATGGCACTAACATATATTGTATTTTATGAACATCAATCTAATTAAAATATAGATCTCGGATTTCGTTATACTACGTTTTTCTGACTGTGCGATATGGGCTTTGCTCATTGCTGAAGGCTGTACGGTGACCTATAGTTGTTAATTTCTGTGTCATTTGGTCTCTTGTGGAGAGTTGTCTCATTGGCAATCATACCACATCTTCTTGTTTATATGTACATAAACAGGATGAAGTTATTTTTCTCACAAAGCATTAAACTAATATTTAATGAACACTGAAACACTAATTATCATTCTGACCCACTGTAGCCGAGTCCAAGAGTAGTGAACAATTAATTTCTTTCTTGGCAGAAAATTTCCCCTAACAATTATCTGGAGCACCACATGATATCAACATGTAGCAGTGTGTGACAGAAGTAAAAAAAGTATGCTGATATTAAAACTTTTTCTGCATGTGCTGGCATAAGTATACCGGTACATGTATATCTTTGCAAGTACACAGTAGAATATCATTAATAAGATGACATTATGATTTATATACTATTTCCAATGAATTTAGATTTATCTGATCCCATATCTTCATTGACTTTGTAAATTATAATTTTTTGGTAGGAGAATTAGGAGAATGAAGACTTGCAATGTATTTTCTGGGATATTGTCATGTTTTTTTAAAGTACACTGTGAATCCTCCACAAATATTTTTTTTTAATAAACACTCGAGAAGTTGCCCAATGATAGAAAAATGTCAACCTTTAATAATACTCTATTTTCGAGAATTTACCTTTGAATGCAGACTTGATTATCGCCATATCGGGTAGCAGATATCTGGTATGTAAACTCTTTCCATAGCCCGTTTGAAGCATGTTGGTAGCCTGACCATGCAATCTTTGATTTCCAAAATTTTTCTCTTCTCAAATTTCAATTCTTTCACTTTGTACTAAGGCAAAATTTCAGTTAATGCATTTTCTATGTTGTTTTTCCATTTCTACGTCGCCATCTTCAACATGGTCCTAGGTCGCGTTTATAAGGAGCATTCTGATTGGTCGATATAAATACTTTCTGGGGTCAAATATTACGTTATATAAGGTCACAAAAGTGAAACCTTGTAGGGTACTTATTAGATCTTCGTATGTAGTATAACGTAGTATAACGAAATCCGAGATCTATATTTTAATTAGATTGTATGAACATATATATGATTTTTTGAAAATACATTTTGTTTTTTGTCTCGCCTGCGACGAAAGTCGCGGATAGCGAGACACAGGAATTGCTTTTCTGGCGACGGCGACGATGACGACGGCGTCAACGATTGTTCAGTTTTCTGCTTAAGTTAGTTTGATAGGAACTACGTGTGATAGATCAATTATATTTTGTATGAAGTTGCTTTACTATCAGTACGTATATCAGTTTGATTACTATTTTGAGGCCCTGCCCCCTAGGTCTGTGTCCGGTGACTTGGAATTAATTAGAAATTTTCAATGTTAAGTTTTCTGCTTTAGTTAGTTTGATATGAACTACTTGTGATAGATCAATGATATTTTGTATGAAGTTGCATTACTATCAGTACATATCAGTTTGACGAATATTTTGAGGCCCTGCCTTCTAGGTCATAGTCCAGTATATTTGAATTAATTAGCAATTTTCAATGTTAAGTTTTCTGGTTTAGTTAGTTTGATAGGAACTACTTTCATATGACAATTATATTTTCTATAAAGTTACATTACTGTCCGTACATCTCAATTTGTTGAGGCCCTACCCACTAGTTCTTACAACGGTTTTTATTAGAAAAACAAGGCAAATTGGTGGAAATAAAAATTATTGTGAATTTGCAAATTATTTTAGAGTCCATTTCAGCGTTACTTGGTTTGTCATAATAAGCCCGGTCTTTGCTATACAAACAAAAATAGGGCAGTTTTAAATGAGAGCCGTAGGTTTTCTTCATCCAGCTGATCGATATCGGTGTCAACATTAAAGTTTAACACAAATTTTCCTTCAGACACACGTATTTTGTTTTTTTGTTTTGTAAATGACGAAATCGTCGAAGTGTAACCTCCGTGGAATGTACCGGCTTTAGTGAAGTGCTTTTTTTAACGTCTGCATTTCTATCAAGGATGGCATGCTAAGTCAACATTTTAAATAATTACTACGGATTGTGAAAATAAATAACAGAACTATGAACCATAACAAACATTGTTATTCGTAGAACATAAGAAGAAATCACGTGACAAGTTGAAAAACAAATTACGACGCCGGTTGAGAGGGCGTGGTGTATATTGTCCATATCATTTTACTATAAAAATAAGGAGATGTGGTATGATTGCCAATGAGACAACTAACCACCAAAGTTAAAACGAAGTGGATGCAAGCAATTATAGGCACTAGTAATACTAAACATATCATCCTTATTAAACTTATCTTTTATTCGTAGCTGTGTATTTTAATGCGCATTTAACAAGGGGTTTTCTTACATGACTGTTTTCTCCGCTTCTTATAAAATTTGTAGTTTGATTGAGTATAAAAAAGAAGATGTGGTATGATTGCCAATGAGACAACTCTCCACAAGAGACCAAATGACACAGAAATTAACAACTATACGTCACCGTACAGCCTTCTACAACGAACAAAGCCCATACCGCATAGTCAGCTATAAAAGGCCCCGAAATGACAAATATAAAACAATTCAAACTAACGGCCTAATTTATGTACAAAATAATGAACGAAAAACAAATATGTAACACTGCAACAAACAACAACCACTGAATTACAGGCTCCTGACTTGGGACAGGCACATACAGAATGTGGCGGAGTTAAACATGTTAGCGGGCGCACAACCCCCCAACCCATAACCTTGGACAGTGGTGCAACAGTACAACATAAGAACAAACTATAAAAATCAGTTGAAAAAGGCTTAACTCATCAGGTGGATACAAATAGAAATACATCTAACAAAAACACAGAGTAGACGTGGACAGGTACTTCTACATCCCAACAACAAAAAGACGCTGAGTACAGATCTGAGAGTAATCGCAGTTACTAACAACTAGTTCAAAGTCAATAACAACTAATAAAAAAATCATGCATCTAAGACTAAATTATCAATCATTACACATCCAACATCCAATGGATTTAGTATAAAGACGCCATAAACAGTCAGAGAAAAAAAAATGACCTTGTGCAATGCCAAGATACAGGTATCGACAGATTGTAGAACGGCAATGAATGTGCATACATGTATGTATATAACAATAATATTTAGTTTGCTTTTAATTTACTGATAACAAAATCAAATTGAATATTAATACCAATAAAAACAATATTCAAAGATCTAATTACAGTTTTTAATTGGTAACCTTTTAGAATAAGTTTATTTAAAGGATCGATAAGTTTACCCGGATCGTTTATAAATTTCCGGGCTCGGTAGACAACATTTCCGTAAAAAAGAGGATATGCTATCCCGTTTGAAAAAAGTTTTCTACAAC